GAGGAGGATGAAAGGGCGAAGGTGGAGGTGGACGCAAGAGACGTGGCGAGAGCACTCATGGTGCTGGAGGTGGTGGAGGCAGTAGTCATGGCGATAGGTTGAAGAACGGCTTGTCTAGATGCGATCTTCTTTTGATCTTACGAAGAAGTCGGTCTGATTACCATGTAAGAATATTGGGAAGCGTTAAACCCTTGCTCGGGCCGCACTTATATATATATGGGCAATGCCGTGGCTTACAAGAAGAAAACGATCGCTAGATCGATCGATAAAGAGTTGGAACAGAAGAAGGGATAAAGAGAAGATACAAGTTTAAACAGGAGAAGTTCTCTCTCTATACAAATATTCCAACACACTGCTCTGAATCTCTCTAATTCACGCAGCTCAATGGCCTGCCTGCTGAAATTCTAATACGTAACTAGCCATACCAGCGCGGCGGCACGCCGCGCCCCGTCGACACTGTATGTCTGTGTACTATTTTTTGGCCCGGTTCTTGTAGTATCTGCTCTGGAAGGTACATTCTTTTTTTAAAATATCCAGTGCTTGTTTTTTTATATGGGCCGAAAAAAGGCTAAAGTTTAAAATGTCACATAGAGTCTAAATTGTCAGAAAAGATGTTGGCTAGAAAGGTTGGAACATTTTAATAGTAAGGTTGTTTTCTGTTGTGTAAGCCGGGCGTTGCCCGCGCGGCGCCCCGCAGTCCGGCAGTGGCGGCCCTCCTTCTTCACCCGTCGCTGGATCCCGGCTCGGGTGAGCGGTCCTGGCGGCGGAGCCCTTCGGCCGGCGGCGTTCCGGCGCGGATCTGGACGGCGGCGATGCGGAGGCGTTGCCCCTTGGCGGCGGTGACGGCCCATGGCCTGCGGCGGCCGGCGGCGCTCGGCTGGCCCAGATCTAGGCCCTACGGGCCCGATCTGGGTCGGGGCGGGCCTGCTGGTGGCCGCAGTGGGCTGTTCTCCGGTGGTTTCCGGCGAGCTCCTCGCGACAGAGACGGCGGCTGCTGTGCCGCGACTGCTGTAGCACGGCGGCGAAGCTTCACGGGCCCACGCAGGGCCTGGCCGGACAGGGGGTCTGGTGTGCCTCTGCTGCTATGCCCGGTTTGCTACCGCCTAAGCCGGTGGAGGTTGTTCCCTCCCTCGTGGCTGCGGTGCTGCCGGTCCTTGTCTTCGGGTGTCTCGTTTGGATCCGGCCGGCCTCGCTTCGTTGGCCGTGGTGAGACGACGGCGGTGTTCTCGTGACTGTTGGCGCATGTTGGTGGGCGGCGGGTGTGGTGGAGCCGAAGGTTGGTCCTGGGTGGTGGGCGCGAGAGGTCGGGAGAAATCCATGTCGGGTCTTGCCGGCACCAACGCGGTGACGCCTGCGGGCGCCACCATCCTTCTTGAAGGGCGTCGGGTGACCCTCTCCCCCCTCTACCCTCCGTGTACCGGGAGAAATCCTAGGACTCGTCCGGGCAGCAGCGTCGTCATCGTCGCATTCCTTCTTGAAGGTGGTGCTTGGTACACGGCAACTCAGTGGCTTTGGAGCATGGTGGTTATCTTCGGTGGGCGCAACGATCGCGGTGTGCCGTAGCTTTCGTCGATCCGGCGTTGTTGGCATTTCTTCTCTTATTTTCTCTTGTTATTTCTTTTGGGCGTGCTTGTGTTGTTTGCCCCAGCGTGGATCAGATTGTTGTGTCGGGTGGTTGCTATATCAATATAGCGGGGCGTAAGCCTATTTCGGTAATTTGGGAAAACTTACAACCAAGTCGCCTCCTTTTTTTAGTGTCATAAGAATGTAAATGGAGATAACAAATTTTATAGGGAGTACCAAAAATGACGGTACTTATTTATAGATAGTTGAACTTGCTAGTGAATTATTTTAATATAGAACATAGGTGTGATGTAAAGAAAAAAGTGATGTTCTTTGGAAGAGAATAACAATGAAGTACATTATGTAGACATGTAAACATTACACTGACGGATAAATCATGCCTAGTAAAACAGAACATGAATTTATCCGGTTAGGTACATACAGCACATTACATGAATAAAAGAGATAATTTTTTTTTGTCATGATACTAAATCGACGGTCTATAACATCTCATTGGGGCTCCCTACTGCGATAGTGTTGTTCTTGGGCAAATTTGTTGGAGCAGGACATGGTTAAGTGAGATTAGGATATGCATCCCGAGTCTTCCAAAGAGAAACTACCAGAGAGGATCAGACGCATGACAAATATATATATATATATATATATATATAGACACACACACATGCATGTAGTCAAATAAATCCCACCGTTGCATCCATACAAATCACCGGCCAATGCAAGGGGGCTACCCTAAAAACATGCAAGGGGACAGAACATGTGTTTGATCAAATAGCCAAATCGGAAAGGAAAATACAACGCACACAAGCTACTGGTACCCAGTAATACCGTGTGTCCATTTGATATCCACTAATGTGGGCAGTAAAAAAACTCTAAAGAAGTCCAAAAAAAGAAACAGAACCAAGGATTAGAATGACTCAAAAGGCAAACAAATCAGAAACAAAAACGGCTGGATTGCATTATGACAGCTATCAACAGAACTTGTCATCCACCAACTGAATTTGCTGGTACATGCGCATTCATGTTGTGTCCATCCAGTTTCATGTTGTGTCGGTCTTCAGCAGCATTATTATGTCGAGCACAGCCTCGGCGCCACCGGCTGCCAGCAGATAAAAACGGAGAACTGAAGAAAAGAGATTCCCAGCGGGGCAGCGGCTGCAGAGCAGATAGCATGGGTGACGAACTACGGCGCGCGCCGTATGGCGGAGCGAGCGAGCCGGCCGTAATTGCCTATAGAAACTACAAAAAATAGTGCGTTTAGGAACTGCAAGGCAAATATGCTCACCGGCGGACTGACGAACATGTATGAACACGCTGCCCACGTGCATCAAGAAGAAGATTAGCGCAGTTCCTCCGCCAAGCTGCACGGTGAGGGGAGGTCGAGTTGGACGCCGGCGCGTGCATGCGCCTTCTTCCTCTCCTGGAGCTCGACCCACCGCGCTGGCGGGTGGAGCTAGGGCAGAGCCCTCGGGCGTCGAGGCGACCAGCAGGAGCTCGAGAAGGCCGACGTTGCTGAACGGGCCTCGGACGACACCAAGCTCCATGACGGAGCTGGTGAGCTCCACCAGCGAGGCGGTCTTCCGTGCAACAACTCTGGCTGCTTGGCCGCCACCCCAGCCCATCCTGCTGTCGCTCCCGGCGACTTGCTGCTGGTGTAAGTCGTGGCCTGTAAGTCCGTGACTACGGTCACGGGCGAGGCGTGAATTGAATCAGAGGGGAAGTGAAGAATTGGAGAAGATAGAAATACCGGTCTACACGTTCGTGCTGTTCTTGGGCACCTCGACGACCTCCATATCCTTGAGGGACTCCATTGCAGACGTCGTTCTCGTCGCCGTTCATGCGTGCGAATACCGTGCTGTCGGCCATGGACCGCGACAGCTTCACCATGGAAGGGCATATCTTCACGCACGGCCCGCAGTTTCAGCCCGTCCAGCACCATCAACTTCCCGCCCTTGCCGATGTTCTCCATGAGGGCATCCACGTACGTCCACCCGTAGTAGAGCACATCGCCCGCGAGCTGGTCGGGCCCGATCCCTTCCTCCTCGTGGTGCCGTCCCGCCGGCACAGCTCCCGCGTCGCCTCTGGCTCGACGCGGAGCTCTCCGCGTCAGGAGTCTGGCAGACCTTCTCCACCACGGGCCTCAAATCAGTTAACCTGAGAACCACGGCCGCGTCGCCGTCCATACTCGGCTCCTCCTCCATGATAAGAGGGCTCTGGAACCCCTCCTTACGTCGACAGTGCTGGACAACAGCGGAAGGGTGCGCGGAGCCCGCTGGAGAGGAGATCGAATCAGGGATTCAGAGCTTGCGGCCGCCTGATCGGAATGACATGGGCGGCGTGGGACGCGACGCCGGGAGTGCTACCTCGCAAACCCTTGCATGCTCCACTACCTGCGCCGTGCGGAGAGACAATGAGACATACGGCGATGGCATACCTCCTAGGCGCAGGCAGCGGTGGCTGACCGTAGCAGAGCAGACGACGGAGACGGAGGCAGTGACGGATGGCCAAGATGACGGCGCGAGCGGCCGCTGTCGATAGATGACGACGGACGCGAGTGGACACAGCCGGTAGGTGAGAGCAAGACAACGACGGTGGCCGACGGGACGGCAAACTACTCGACCGCCGTGAAACAATCACGATCGCTAGGTGAATGCCTTTCCATAGAGAGAGGGGAGAATTTATAAGCGCATAAAGCGGCGAATGAATTGGACCGAGCCTTCGAGAGAGCACCGGATCAGAAGCAGCAGTATCCTCTAGATTACAGGATCGAAGCGGCAGTGATTTTTCTAGGCAAAGCGGCACCGACGACACTCACGCCACCACACGTGGATCGTAAAGAAAAGGTCATCAGAGAGACATGCGGCCCAGAGAATGAAGCCCGCACACAGCGGCCGGGACACAAACCGATGACCAATTGAAACACGGAGAAACATCGAACCAGGAAGGATGTGTCAGGGCACAAATTCCAACGTGACAGCGACAACAGCACGCAACGAACACGATGGACGCAACAGAAGCACGTAAGAAGACCGACCACATCCATTGTACCTCTATATATACCCCACATGCGATGGAAAAACGCTAAGCCAACCAAATCGAATGCCACACCCGTTCAAAAAATTTGAATGAAATAACTGAATTCACAAGGCGTTTCTACACCGCAAGGTACCAAAAAAATAGCACGTGCCGCATGCATAATTCACCATAGGTCATTTTCATTCAAATGGCTAAACTTCACGGCAAAAACTTTGCCTGGAATAGAGGCTTGGGTATGTACTCGCTTGGTCCAGAACTAGTTAACGGCTTGACGCTCAAATGGATGCTCAAAGAATGTACTAGCATTCGTTTGAGCGCCAACAAATTACGGACGGACGAAATAATGGTATGTGTTTATGATCCTTTAGATGAAATGCTGGTGGCACTCTCCTGAAATCGTTCATCGGTCTATGTAATGCCGGCATGCTATTCCTCGAACTTACCATGGGCTTCATTGGTTCGCCCTGTGTTCATTATGTGCGGCTACTGTCAAATTTGCGAGATATCAGTTTCGGAGCAACGACTAAATTCAGTTTCTTGCCGAAAATCCGCTTCTGAGCCCAGGCTCATCTGCACCCCGCGATGATGAAAAAAATTAAAATAAATACTAGAAATTTTTCAATTTTTTTTGCATGGTAGATAATTTGATGCGTGAGATCCGCTTCAATTTTCAAATCATTTGGACATCTGTGCATCTCTCGGCAAAAATGACAAATTCTGGGTATGTAAAAAAGGTTTATGTTCATGCATTGTTCTGACCCGATTTGTCCTTTTTGCCGAGAGCTGCTCAGATATCCAAATGATTTTAAAATTGGAGCGGACCTCACCATGCAAAAAAATTTGTGACTTTTTTCCTGACTAGGTGCAGATAAGACTGGGCATCAAAATGCTACACTCGTTTCTTGCTTCTTTTCTGGCCATTTTGTTTTTTCATATGGGAACTTGTTGCTTCATTTATTCATCTAGACCAATTCCGAGTTCAGTAATTCAGAAATACAACCCGAAGGTGAACGAAACAAAGTTTTACATGCTTTATTCAAGCAGACATCCCTAGCTAACTTATGAGCTACCTTGTTGGCAGATCGCCTAACCCAGTTGATTGGATACTTGGTGGCAAAAATTTCAAGAAACTCTTTGATCTCCTCAATGAGAAGCCCATGCATGGAACGATCTAAGCAAGATCAGATTCTGGACGCCTATTTCCGTAGCTAGCTGCACGGGTCTTCGACACACAAGCATTTCGATGATCTTGCTTTTGGGGGAGACTGTATAGGGGTAGATTGTATACCTTTTTTTTTCACATTAGAGCTAGAAGTCATCTGTCTTTTAATTTTGGGTCCGTTGATTCTCAAAGGAAGGAAGCAGCAGCCACAGAGATTGTGGGCGATGTTTTTTTTAGGGAGATCGTGTATATCTTGTTTTTTTTAAATATTTTTAGACAAGATCGTGTATATCTTGTGAAATTTGAAAAATTTGCCGTGGCACTTGTGGGCCGACCCAACCTGCTGCTTGAAATACAGGCCCGACACCGAGCTGATCGACTGAAACCCACCCACACGCGTTCCTAAAAAAAAAACCACCCACACGCCGCGCGAGGTGAGCTGAGCTCGACACGCCGCGCGAGCGGAAACACACCCTCGCCGCTCCTCTCTCCTCCCGTCGTGCCGGCCGCTGCCGGGGCCGCCTTTCGACCCGCCGGATCACCGCAGCACCCCGCTCGAGCGCCGGCCGGCAGGCCGTGATGTCCACCGCCGCGCCCTTCCGCCTCCTCCTCCCGCTCCACCCACCACTAACTCCCAGACGCCATTCCGCTCCCGTTCTCCCCTCTGTCCCACGCCGCGGCACCGTCCCCAGCCCCCGCCTCCGCCTCCGTCTCCGTCTCGCAGCCGGGGGCGGCGATGCGCCTCCGCCCGCAGCCGACGAACTCGACTGCGTGGGCACGGGCAGCGACGTCGAGTGCGTCGTCGACGGCGACCCTGGGGCGGAGGAGGGGGTCGCCCCGGCGCTCGCGGGGAGGGAGTGGTGGGAGTGGGTGTCGCTGGTGTCGCCCTTCTTCTTCTGGGGCACGGCCATGGTGGCCATGAAGGGGGTCATACCCAAGACCGGGCCCTTCTTCGTCGCCGCGCTCCGCCTGCTCCCCGCGGGCGCGCTCGTCGTCGCCTTCGCGGCCGCGCGGGGCAGGAAGCAGCCCTCCGGGTGGGCCGCCTGGGGCGCCATCGCCGCCTTCGGTCTCATCGACGCCGCCTGCTTCCAGGTGGATATAGATAGGTGAAAGGCGTGATCCTTAGCGTGTGGTTGTGCGGTTCCTGAAGCCAGCATGGGTTTGGTTTCCTCCTTTTGCAGGGCTTTCTCACCGAGGGCTTGCAGAAGACATCGGCTGGCCTCGGAAGCGTAAGGCTAACTCTCCGTGCTGTTCTCTACCTCCGATGGCAAACAATTGGCTTGCCATTTTGGTCGATCACTTACGGAACTGTGATCCTCGTTGCAGGTCATAATTGACTCCCAACCATTGACGGTTGCTATCCTTGCAGCACTATTCTTCGGAGAGTCTATCGGGGCGATAGGAGCTGGGGGGCTCGTACTGGGTGTTGTTGGGCTTTTGCTCCTCGAGGTTAGTACATTTTTGCAATGCATTTCTAACGTTTCCAAGCAATCTCGTATCTCCACGCTCAGATATTGGTTACGATTAGTTTTTCAATTGATTACGATTAGTTAATAACATGTACATTTTTTTAACAAGTAAAGCAAGTGGTATACTCAGATACCACTGAAGTACCAAAAATGCTTTTAAAACACACAGGTAATAGACATTACTAGTATAGTACAACCCGGAAGACCGCAACAGTTTCGATGACTCAATTTAGGTTCAAATGTTTTTTTTTTGAAAAGGAGGTTAAACCCCCCGGCATATGCATCAATCGATGCATATAGCCATCTTTATTGATTATTCAACAAAGATCTGACAAAAACATACATTGAACCACGCAAAGCCACCACTCACACCTACAAATATCGATAATGTGGAGTGTTCTTGCTCCCCATGTCTAAAACCGGTGTCGTCGCCGATCCATCCAAATAAAGTGTCGGAACCTACAGCCGGTGCAACAAACCTAAAGCGTACACCACATACACACATTTTAGAAGCCACCATCATCATCGAACCGCTGACCCATCTTCAAGAAAGAGATCCGCATCATCTTTGCCAGTCCGGCCATCCGTCGACGCCACCACGGCGCCCAACAGCACCACCTCCACGCAAACTGCTGAGCACGTTGCAGTCGCCGCCGGTACACCGCAACACCATGCCGCCAAGTACCACCAGCCGACACAGCTTGAAGTCACTGGAAGATCTGTAGTGCGTAGCACCTGCCGAACAGGCATGACACAACGTAAGCACCTGTCGGCCAGGCATGACTTGACATCTCCACCGCAGATTCGTGCAACACGAAGCTGCTCCACCTCCTGCCTCTGTCTTTCGACGCTGCTCCACAAACGATGCTGTCAAGAGAGAAACGACACTGCAATGTCGTCATCGTCCGATCTGGAAGACCAGATCCTAGGGTTTTCCCCGGAGCAGCATGAGTAG